GTTAAGGAGGAATTAAAAAGAGATAATTTGATGTATTCAATTTTTTAATATAAATTTTTAAAATATATTTTAATTTCAATTAAAAGTTTCAATTGAAAAATATATTAAAGAATATTTGTTATTAAACTTTTCTTAAACAATGTATTGAATAGTTAATATCACTACAATATTAATTTATTACAATTTAAATTTTTAATAAATTTGATTTATTTTTAATAATTTTTATTTTAGTAATTTAAAATTAAAGTTAATCTTTATTTTGATAACATTAAGATCAAAGTTTATTTTTAAAAAATAAATTACTTTTAAAAAATAAATTGTAAAAATATACTAAAATAATTAAAGTATATTTATAAAAAAATAAATTTAAATATAATAAAAAAAATAATGTTCATTAGTGATCGATTTTAATTTGGTCATTATTTTCTTGTTAGCGACCGATTTCAATTCAGATCACTATTTTAATTTGTTATTCGGTCGCTAAATAATTTTTTTTAATTTTAGTATGTAATAGCCACCGATTTAGCGACCAGAAATTTTGTCACATAAACTATTTGTCGCTAAATAAAAAGTAAAACCAACTCATATTTCAGTGACAACCGAATTAAATCGGTCACTAATTGCGACTAAAAAATTCAGTCGCTAAAAGTGTTTTTTTAATGCGAGTTTCGAAAATAATTGCATTTAGGTCATTAGACTCTAACATACAATAATTTTGTATTGTTTCATGCAAATTAACCAAATCACACAATATTATAGAAGAAGGTAAGCAATATTATTTGTAAAAATATAGTGAAAATAAAGAGGGCTAGAGAATGAGATATATCCATTATGAAATTTTGCAAAAATGGTTTGATCCATTTTCAAAAATGTAGTTTTCCAAAGTTTAGATGTGGTTGTGATGTTTCTCTTTGAGGATTTTGTCTTTAAATTGAATTCAATGGCCATGTGATCTACAGAAACTACTCTCTCCACGTGGGATAAAGATTTGGTTGTTGGTGTGTGCCACCAAAACGACCAAAATATGTGAACACTATCCAATACATCATGATAATTCATGAGTTTGAATGCAAGAAGCTAGCCCCATTACCTAGTGAATAATGATACGACCAAGAAAACATGATTAAATTTGTCCTTTCGAACATTCCTTTAACAATGATTTCTTGCAAATTGAGATAATTAACTTTGCTTTGAGTTGAGTGTTTGTGAAGTCACTATACTCATCATACTTACTTGTTCCTTTCTGGTAAACATGTTTTGTTCAACTCTTACATTCTCACAAAAGTTGTGTTAAAGAACGTTAAGTTGTATTTCTCTTCATGGCATGCAGCATTGCAGACCTTGAAAGTGAACTAGGCCTATTTCTATCTAATAAAGAGGTATTTATTTTAGTATTTAATTTCTATGCACCAGTACTCTAAAACTTTTTATATTATCAACTAATATGAAACTATATTGGTATGACATTTTTAAGCTATGAAGCCCAATACTTCAATGATAGAGAAGTACCAGTGTTTTTCTGGTGTCAAGTACCAAAATATTACCTCCCCATCAAGAGTGGCCTTGTCCCCAAGGTCAGATGTAGGATAAACATTCTAGATATGGGACAAAGATTCCCAAGTGTTGTGATTGGAACCAACCCACTATGTAAGGACTTGGACTTCACAGGAGTCTTGAAATTTTACCTTACGAACATCTAAAACTACAAAAGGAGTAATAACTAGGTGGCTGTCAGAATCCAGCAAGGGAAGAGGAACAGATATACTGAGTCAAGGGAGAGCCAATGCATTGTTTTAAGAGGGAAACATAAAACATAGGATGAATGCGGCCATCAGGTGGTAAGATAAGCTTGTAAGAAATATCATCAAAAAATAAAGATTGAGGCATTGAAAAAGCAAGAAAGGACATCTACCACAAGCTTAGTCTTTCTTGTGCAATATTCAATTATGCAACAGTAACCCAATAGTTTTGGTAACTATGCCTGCTCTGCACAACCTGGTCCAGAAGCTGCTTGAGGTTTTGCTGGTCTTTATGAATGATGGAGTGGCTCAATAAGTAGTAGCAATTAGCCACAACCTTTGTGATAGCATATAGCTCGCGAGCATATGTAGCTTGAGTTTGCATTCTAGGAGATAACTTCTTAGAAAAGAAGGCAATCGGATGGCCTGACTAACTAAGAACTGCATTGATCCCGTAACTTAAGTGTTTATTTCCACACAGAAAGGTTTTGTGAAATCTGGAAGAGCAAGGACCGAGGCCTTATTAATGACAATTTTTGAGGCAATAAAAGTTGTAGTTGTTGCAACAATCCAATGAAACACATCCTTTTGTAAAAGTAATGTTAAAGGAGCAACAATAGATGCATAATGACGCACAAATTATCAGTAGTACCCTATCAAGCCGAGAAACCTACTTAATTGAGTGAAAGTCGTAGGTATTGGTCAATATAAAATAGCTTAAAACCTTATTGCTATCCATTTCAACACCTGTATTAGAGACAATATGCCTTAAACAATCAATTCGGTTCTAACTAGAGGAGTGCTTGAAAAGTTTGGCATGGAGGCAATGTTTTTACAGCTTAGCCAAAACTAAAAAGAGATGATCCCGATGTAGAGGCCAATCGGTGTTGTAAATTAGTATATTATAAAAAAATACCAAAACAAATTTACATAAAGCTGAAATACAAAATTCATGAGAGCTTGAAAGGAGGTTTGGATTGGTAAGACTAAATGACATAATCAATCACTCATGGAATCAATGGAATGATTGTGTTCTTGGGAGTGGCAGCCCCTAAGGAATGTAAAAAACAACATAATATTGTTGTAATAAGGTATTCAAATCTAAAGGAGTATCTGAAGGTAGTTGTAATGAGGTACATAAAATATATTCTACGGAGAAATACTATAGAGTGTATAATTTTGCATTAGCATTGAAAATGACTATTACGGAGAGGCAGCTTCAACCAGAAGATTAAGATGGTGAGGTTGAATGAAGTAGTTAGAACTTCCTCCATCCAACAAAACTTGAACAGTGGTACCGTGAATGTGAGCAATGAAAAGAATTGTACCAACCCCAAAGGAGCCTTCATACGCGTTAAAAGATAGATGGACCAAGGAAGAAGAATAATTATCATTATTTGTTATTTTGACATATTACAAAACAATTAATACAATCGATTTCAATAAATGTGCATAATTATTTTGATGTAAATTCAATAATAATTAATATTTATTAAGTCATACAATGGATATAAGAACACAAAGTAATGCATGCATGATTTAGACTATTTTTTAAGAATTATACATAGCTAATATCCAATATCCAGATGTATGAACCAAAGTCATTAACATCACTTAAAAATCTTAGAAGATTCAAATTGAAAATTTTTTCTAGAAATGAAAAATAAAAAACTACAAATAAAAATACTATATAAACTCTATATAAGTTATCAACATAGTCTTCCCTAAATAATTCACCTACCAATACGATGTATCTTGAACGCTCATAGGATGAAATTTGCTTTAATCCCTCCATATTTTTATTAAAATTGGATTTAGCCCTATACATTAAAAATAATGAGTTTAGTCTTTTTATTTTTTATTTGTATAAATGTGTTAAATTTTCACTGATCATATTCTTTAAGCTGATCCACCCAATATTAAAATTCACTAAATTTTAAAAATTATCTGGATCAAAATCATATATTTTTTTAAAATGTTATGACGTTATTATAGAAGAAATCACATTCCTGAATTATTATAATTGAAATGTTAGCATTAGACATGTTGTAAAATATGTTTAGTAAAGTTTTTATTTAGAACTTAAAATAATTAAACGGAAAAGTAAAAATAAAATACAAGTATTTTTTTCTGAGTATTTACATCACAAGAAATCTTGAATGTTTCGATCGACAAAATTCGTCCGTAAATACATATGATAAAATCTAACATAGTACTATACTGAGTTGGAAAAACAAAATCTAACATAGTACTATACTGAGTTGGAAAAACAAACACTAGGGTATTAGAATTTTCAAATAAAAACTTACGAATAAATTATATTTATATACAGATAAATATATAAAAATTAAGTAATTATTATATAATTTTAAATATTTAATTTTTTTAATTTAATACTAATTTTTAAAAATATATTTTAAATTTATCGATAATATCCGTCGGTAACTAATTATTCATTTATCTAAATTATTATTTTATCAATGGATATATTCGTCGGTAATTAATTATTCATTTAGCAATGAATTTATAAATAAATATATCTCGTTGATAAAACAAAATTCTACCATTACTCTATATTCATCGATAATTTATGTCAGTAATAGTTATATATCCATCGGTAGATATCTATCAATAATATAAGATTTTTTTTGTAGTGTTAATTTTCCGTCGCTTTAACATGAGGATAAAAATCATGCAAACAAGATAATACAATTTTCCGAAAATAACATATATAACTACAAAATATTTTTTTTATAACTTTTTTGAGAATATATAAAATAAAGATTCTCACTTCATATATTCAGAAAAAAAAATGGTAAAAAATTAATTTGATGTAACGTTAAAGAAGCCAAAACACACTTTAATCGAGTTTCATAAAATGAAAACAGAACAGTGTCTAAAAGTCTATTATACACCACGTAATTTTGACAGGTTAAAATGTTAAAATCAACAAATTGTATTCAAAACCTCTGTGTTACCTATTTTATTCTAACCCCAACCTCCCTACTCCATCATTCATTACAATTTCAAATAAAAAGAATGTAAACACTGGTAAAGCTCCTAGAGCCTGAAATCCCCAACCTAAATGATTCAACCCTAACTGAAATTCTGCTCAATAGCATTGCTATGGTACCATTTGAAGATAACTAGTGCGAGAGAGGGTGCCACAATCAACTACCAAATCTTGCAACGTTGCCCAGAAAGGAAATATGAATAAATTATGATTAAGTGGAAGTAGCAGACTCTTCAACACTCAAATTTTCAAGGAGACTCGCAGCAGAAGATGCATTTTGTTCTCATTGTCCTGGTTCTCCCATTGTTCTGGTTTTCCTCATGGTTCTGGTTCTCCCCATTGTTCTGGTTTTCCTCATGGTTCTGGTTCTCCCCATTGTTATGGTTTTCCTCATTCTCATGCTCATGGTTCTCCCCATTGTTCTGGAATTCCTCATGGTTCTGGTTCTCCCCATTGTTCTGGTTTTCCTCATTCTCATGGTTCTGCTTTTTCTCATGCTCATGGTTCTCCCCATTATTCTGGTTTTTCTCACTGATCTGGTTCTCCCCATTGTTCTGGAATTCCTCATGGTTCTTGTTCTCCCCATTGTTCTGGTTTTCCTCATTCTCAGGGTTGTCCACATTGTTCTGGTTTTTCTCATTCCCATGGTTCTCCCCATTATACTGGTTTTTCTCACTGATATGGTTTTCCTCATTGTTCGAGTTTCCCTCTTGTTTTTGGTTATCCTCATTGCTCTGGGATTGAACAATCTCTTGGAATGAATCCAAGAACATTGTGCAATCTAACAGAAATACCAACCAATAGTAAATACACACTATGAACATATGCTCCACAGCAAGCAATTACAACAATAAGTTTAACAGTGTCCAAAACAATGATCTTCTTCAGAGGAACTTTCAATCTAATTGTCAAATTAATGAAATTCAATGTCCATAATTATACAAAGCAAGTTAACGTAATAATGGTCCAAAGTGATGTCACGTCTAACCAAACACTCGAACCAATCCCCAACATACTCCTCCCAACCATAGCCATCGATAAAGTAAGCAAAAACAATAAGAAAAAAAAGCACATGAACATTGGCAACAAGTATACTATATTATTTCTAATTTCCATTCAATTCAAAGTTGTCCCTCTTCGTCACTTCCTTTCCACTGTTCCAAACATAGCACTCCAGAAAATTAAAAGTTCATCCAAACAAAAACTATCTCTCACACGAGAAGTATTAGCAATATACTCTCACCTTCCAGTTTAAAATTTATTAAACCTATAAAGAGAAAAGTCTTGTTAAATCACCTTGTATTTTTCAAATAATTTATAAGCAGTGGATACGCAGGTTGGGTGTCTACATTTTCTTTAGAATTAATTCTTTTAAAATATATTTTAAAGTTTTTTTTTTACTAATTCAGTATCATATTTTTTTCTTTCATATAATTTTTTTTTAAATATATAAATCATAATAATAATTTTTTTAAATTATGATATTTTATTTTTTTATGATAAAAAAAATTATAAAAGAGAATTTTTATCTCATATATTTATAGATTATAGAATATAGATGTATAGGTATAGATAAACTATAATATTTTTTCCTTAAAAAAACTATTTAGGAATCATATGGATTTAAATTATAGATGAAAAGGGTGTTATATTACTCGCTTTTTTCATCACACAGTAATATGTTTCTTTAATGAAGGCATACGACGTATCGTACATTATTTCCTTCAATTTTCTATTTCAATTTTTTTCTTTTGTATTCCAGCCTCACACTTTCTCTCCACTGTTAAAAACAGAACAGTACGGAGAAGAATTTTTTCTAAACAGAGACAAACGAAAGGACAATAACAATCTTTTTTTCTTTGATACAAGAAGACATATTAATATTATAATGCGCTTACTTTCAATAGACACAAACCGAATGCAGAAAAGCTCTTCCTTCAATCCATCTTCCGAGAAGTCCATCGCCTTCCAAACGCACGACTTCTCGTTCCCGGCGTGCTCTTGCACCCTCATCCCACGACCAACTGCAAAATCCAAAAATAAAAATTATCACACAATAATATATATATATATATATATATATATATATATATATATATATATATATATATATATATATATAAAGAATGAACAAGAAAAACAAGACTCACTGAGATGATTAGCGCAGATTTTGCGAGTTTTGGATTGCCTCATGAGAAGGCGAACTTTTCCCGTCACGTCGTGCCTTAACAACTTCACGCTTCCAGCGCCTCGTTCCTTCCACTTGTTACCGTCCTTGTCGAAACGATACAGTTTCGCTTTGCTGCAAACGAAGCAAGCCAGAACGGTGTCGTTTCAGTTTCGAACAACGAAGTCACATTAGAGAACCATAGTAAGACACTTACAGATCGAGGAGAGGCTTTTCGTCCTCTTCGCCGGTGCATACGGCGACCTCTTTGAGTCTGATTATGGGAGAGACAGGAGCGCCGGTGTCCTCCTCATCGCTGGCGTGACCCTCATCCCCTTCGCGGTGGTCGGCGTTATTGTCCATCGTATTTCTTGGAAACAGTGTAGAGAGAGAGAGAAAGTGGTTATAGCAGGTTTTAGGGTTTTGTAAAAGGTCGAAAGAAAAAACGTGTAGAGCAAACCTGTAATAATGCATGAAAGACTGCTGTAAAAATATGCGGGATGGATGCCACGTGTTCCTTTTTAGGCGGTTCAATCAATGGTAATAGCATCTCCATTATCTTGAAAAATATAAAATGTATATTTATTATTATACGTTATTTTTAGTAATTTATTATTAATTTTATATTAATAAATTTTAAATAACTAATTTTTTCTATTATTACACGATATTTTTAACAATTTATTATTGATTTTACATTAATAAAATTTTGTTAATAAATTTTAAATAATTTATTTTTTCTTCTATTTTTTTCTTATTTATTTGTAAGTTGTTTAATAAAATAATTTTAAAAAATTAATTTAGAATCTTACAAAGATTCTCCTAGAAAATTATTTGAAGTAAAACATACCACTAAAGAAGTGGTGGTTGAAAACTAAACTTACTTACTTAGTTGAAGCTGAGAATACACAGAACTGGTGGAGAATATTTTATTCAAGAGAATTTAATGAGTTATGTGATAAGAGCTATTGAACATGAAGATTATGCATTAATGGTAACTATTTCTTACGCATGCAGTAAACAACAGTAAAAGATTATGAGACAAAGAATAGGTAAAGAAAGAAGCTATAATAGAAAGGAAAAAGATTTTTTTTTAGAACCAATGATTTTAACATCTAATAGATAATTTAAAAATATTTTTTTTTTATAAGATAGGTAAATAAAAATATAAAAATCCAAAAATAAATTGTTTAATCGATTTTTTTTGTCCCCCTCTCCTTTTTTCTTATATTCAGTCTTAAAGGCACATTGCCCTAAGAAGTCCTTCTAGAACATTTTAAAAAACCCTTATTTTATTTTTATAAATTTATTCTCTTTTACCAAGGATAAAAATTATTTCTTTACTCTTTTTCCCCCTGCTTTTCATTTTACCATGTCTTTTTTTTTTATGAGCTAACCTAAATTTTAACAAACAAGTATTATTATTTTATTGTTCAATAATAATAATAATAATAATAATAATAATAATAATAATAATAATAATAAAAATAAAAATAAATTAATAATAGATAATTATTTTTCTTTTTTAACATTATTTTTAAATACTTACTCATTTTTATTATTTTCCTTCTCATTATTTTTGGTGTTTTTAATTTTGTTAATTGCATGAACAAAATCAAGTGTTAACAATAGGTTTAGATAATCACGGGAGTAAGTTGAGATCACCACAATAACAAAATAATTATAACTCTATTACTTTGATATACTTCTTATCCTTTAAATGCACAATTTCTTCACGAATATGTTTTCATCTAACTACATATATTTATAATTACTTTTTAAAATCAAATCATTTTTTAATTATTCTTTTCAAAATTTCTTTAATTAGTGTCACATTTTATTTCATAGTTATCTTTTTTCGTTCTAATATAATTCAACTTCAACAATATATAATAAGAAAATCATATAAAAAACACTTAAAAATAAATCAGCAATAGCACAATTAAATACTCATTTTATTTTGTAAGAGAATTAATTCACCTTATAATTTAAAGAAACTACACGAATGACATAACATACTAGGATTATATTGCAATATGTGTCTGCGTATATAAAATAAAACACATTCAACTCGAATAAAATTAGAAGAAGAAAACAAAACAATTTTCACAACAACATTTCCTTAATATAAAAATAACCAAACATATAAATATTTTTTTATGCTCTTACAATTCTCAAATTTATTAATTTACCCTCCCTTAATTCCTAAACTTACCAACAAACCAGACAAAATCTACTAAGATTTCATCCACCAACAAGGAACCAAATTTGTATACCAAATGAGTTCAGGATCATATACTGACACAGTGATAAGATCATGCATGGACCCTATGTGATCACATGCTTTCATAAAGACTATGAGCCAAACGAGGTTTGATGAGAACTTCAATGGGAGCAACTTTAACATTGGTCAATTCTACCACTGAAGTCATGTCTAGAGGTTCACTTGAAGTTTTTGAGACATCAAAGCAGTGAAGAAAGTTTGCCAAAGTCAAATGAGAAGTTCTAAGGGCAAAGGATATTCCAGGGCATATCCTCCTACCACTTCCAAAAGGTATGAGCTCAAAGTGTTTTCCCTTAACATCCACATCTTTGTGTGTAGTGAGGAACCTTTCTGGCTTGAACTCCAAGGGCTCTGGCCAAATACTAGGGTCTGTTTGGATCTTCCACAAGTTTGTGATTAGACGAGTTCCTTTCTTCACATGGTACTCTCCAAACATGCAATCTTCTCTGAATTCACGAGGGGCAGAAAGAGGAGTGGGTGGATATAGCCTCAGTGACTCCTTAACAACTGCATGAAGGTACACCAACTTGGTTATGTCAGACTCAGTTACAAGTCTCTCTTTCCCAATGTGAGTGTCAATTTCTTCCTTTACTTTTGCCAATGCCAGAGGATTGTTCAGCAGCAAAGACAGTGTCCATATGTTAGTAGCAGAGCTTGTGTCTGTTCCTCCCAAAATCAATGCCTGCATGCAAATTGAGAACAAATGGTGTTCAAATATTGTGTGATTCGTATTTGTAAAAACTCTTTTTGACTCATGAAATTATGAACAAATCTCTTCAACCAATACAAATTACCTTTGAACTTCAAATGATCCACACCTTGAGTTATGATCACAAAAAGATCTCAGTTTTTGCTACGTACATTTCGAAAACAATGTTTAAATAAAATCTTAAGAAAACAATTTTAACAAATTAAAACAGACAATGAGAGAGAAATTTAACATAACATGCACAAAGTGAAACATAACACAGACACACACACATATACCATTGACGTGGCTTTGATGATGGTATCAGAATCAAACCCATGAATGTTGGTTCCATCGATCATCGACAGCATCACATCCATGAAATCCCCACCTTTCTCACCATTCAAACCCCTTTTCCTCTTGTGTTCTTCCAACCATCCTTCCACCACAACATCCAACTCCTTGAAATTTTCTTTCATGGCCTTCTCATGCCCTCCGAAATCGAACCACCTGAGCCACGGCACCGCGTCCGCCACCGCGAACACCCCGAACAGCCGCATGTAGTCATTTAACGCCACCAAACACCTCCGCGCTTCTTCCTCCTCAACCACCGCGGTTTCTCCAAAGTACCTCTTCCCAGCGATCATCCTCAGCACCACGTTGAATGCAACCTCCTTCAACCACTGTTTCATTTCCACCTCGAAAAACCCGTTCTCCGTTTTCCCACGGGTCCACTTGTGGTACAGCTCTTTGGCAGAGGTTCTCACCTCGGAAACGCGCACGTCCGAGAACGCGTCGAGGCGATAGTCCGCGAGGAACACGGAGGCAACTTTCTTGCGCATGTCGCGCCAAAATTGGCCGTAGGGAGCGAGCCCTACCATGGCGAAGTTGTAGGTCATGTTTTCGCAGGCCACGAGGTTGGGGCGGTAGGACACAGCGACATCGTTTGTGGTGAAGCACTCTTTGGCGGTTTCCCAGTTGCTGATGACTAAGGTTTTGACTGTCCCAAGCTTGATGGTGAAGAGGGGGCCGTGGCTGTCAGCCACGGAGCCCAGGAGGTGGTGGGTGGCTGGGGAGCGCGCCAGGAGGGGGAGGTGTCCGAGGATCGGCCACGCGCCGGGGATGGTGGGTGGTTCTTTGCGTTGTTTGCTTCTGGAGCGGTGGAGGACGAGGAAGAGGAAGGTCGGAATGAGGACTAGAAATGCAATTGTCAGAGGAGAGAGAGCAGTTTGGAGTGACTCCATTTTGGTGAGTGGCTGATTCTAGGGTTATATATATATATATATATATATATATATATATATATATATATATATATATATATATATATATATATATATATATATATATATATATATAACTTTTTCTTACATACTCCTCTGTAATTTTCGAAAAAATATTTTAAAGTGTGTTTGAAATGGGGTTGAAATTTTTTAACAAATATGAGTTTAAAGGAACTGATATCAAGAGTGAGACTTTTTCAATTTTTTAATTCTTTAATAATTAATTGAAAATGCTTAAAGGAATTGTTTAAGAGTGCCACCATTGATTTTTTTTATTTTTGTATGTGACATAAAAAAAAGGTTTCTTTTTTGTTTTGCTGAGAATGGCAGCTGCTGTAGAAAAAAATATACAATTTTGCAGTTTGGCGTGGACCACAGCATTGAAAAATATAAAATAAATACATTTAAGCTGAATTTAAGATAAATTTATTAAAAAATGTTATGTCAATTTTCTTTTAAAAATAAGATAAAATTGATAACAAAAGAGTACTGAGCTTAAATAATATTAGTAAAAGTAAATTCATTTATTAAATTTATATTAGTAATGAATGAAAATTAATCATCAGATCGATGTGTTCTTCACTACCAAGAATATTTTTCTCTCTGTCTCTTTATTACATTATTTATTACAATGGATAATTCATTCATTATACACAGAAAACAAATCCTTATAGTAATAACATTTAATGAAAATACATATCAGTTACAAGATCTGAATTGATTTGAAATTGATTACTTTTTAAAATGGTTAAAATTTTAAAAATTAAATAAAATTACTTTTTAAATATAAATAAAATTTAACTATTATATATATTTTTTCCATTTTTTACTTTTTTTTTTTATCGCAGACACTTATATTTTTTATTTTTGTTTATTATTTTTAAACATTAATCTTATTTTTCGCAATTTTATCTTATAATATAAAAATTATAAATTTTTATCTTAATTTTTCACAATTTTTTCTTTTACAAGTTTCATTTTTATACTATAAAAATCATAATTTTTCTCTAATTTTTTTCTTTTCTATTCACAATAAAGACATAAAATATTAAAAATAAAAAATAAAAAATATTTTTGTAATATAAATTAAATATAATAATGAATAATTTTTATAATATAAAATAAAATAAAATACAACTACATCATATTTGACCAGTTTAGGTAGAATTTCTTACGGCTGCTCACAAAATATGTTTTTGAGGAGAGAAGCATATTATATTATAACTAGTTTTTGGTATAAGGATTTATAGTTATCCTTTACTACACTAAATGATATCTGAATGTAAAAAAGTAATGTTTATATAATTATTGATATCAAAACAAGATTTGGGAAGAAAGAAGAAAGAAGGAAGAAGATTAATGAAGACAACAGGAACTGAGTTGCATGATAATACATCAGAACTTAATAACAAAAACTTGAATAGTTATGATAGTTGGTGTATAAAAATAAAGATTGTTTTTTATTTCTAAGAAGTTTAACACATTGTTCTGGATGAATATGAGGGGATATCAGAGAATCTCACTAAGGTACAACGTGCGATGTTTCGAAAGACGAATAAACATGATTGCAAAATTTTGTTTTATATTCATTAATGTGTCGATGAAAACAATTTTAAGAAGAATTCATTAGCAAACACGGCGAAAAAAGCCTAAGATATATTGGTGCAGAGTTACATAGGTGTAGAAAGATTGAAAGTGATACGACTTCAAACCTTGCATCATCATTATGAATTATTGCAGATGAAGATGTAAGAAATCATTCAAGAATACTTTGTAAGATTGTTGTCGATCACAAACTTGTTGAAATTGTATAGTGAAAGTTTGAAAGAACAAGTAGTGGTGGGAAAGGTGTTAAGAGCCCCTAATGCAAAATTCGATATACTTTTTGTTATTATCAAAGAATCCAAAGGATCTAAATTTGTTGAAGTTGGATGAATTATAGGAGTTATTTGAGGCTCATGAACAACTTTTACTTAAGAGGGTAGAAGAGAAGTCCAACTCAGAACAAGCCTTGTTATTGTAACAAAACCAAAAGAATGAGGGTAATTGAGGAATATTGAACAAGTGAGTTATTCACAATCAAGAGGTGGTAAAGGAAAAAAATTACAGTGAAGAGGTGGTTGATCTAGTTTTGGTAAGAAGAATGTACAGTACTATAACTCTTACAAGTATGGTCATTATATAGCTGATTGTTGGAACAAAGAAGAAAAAAAAATTGCACAAAAAAAAGAATTGGAGGATGAAGTATTGTTTATAGTGACCACGACAAATTCATTGAAGACATTTGGTGAATCTTGATATTTTGATATAGGTTGTGTTAGAAATGTAAGCTGAGATCAAGAGTGGAGGTGAATTGATCTTTTGAAACTTTTTCGCACTTTATGGATATAAATTTTCTATTTCAAAAGATTAAGAAGTTTGACCAAGATATGATACAAGAAACACAAGCAGAATTGTAAAATATACAAGCAGAATTAAATAATGTATAGGAATAGATAAAGAAACACAAGAATTATACTGGTTTACCCAAATCACAGGGTTACATCCAGTTCTCAACCAAATTCCAATTGTGTTCCACTAGATTGATTATGTTTTTTATTGCAAACCCGAATCACAAAACACCCAACCTATACCAAGAACCAAATTCCAGTTCTTGAATAAAACTTTCACCAAGAACCAAGTTCCAGTTCTTAAACCAACCTGTAGTCAAATTCCAGTTGCAGAACCAATGCTCAAATCTTCCAAACACCCACACAATACAGATATGAATTAATGAAAATAAAGAGAAGAAACTAGAACAAACAAACCTGATTGTGCAAATGCAATTCTTCCTCTACAAAATGAGTTTCTTCACATGCAAGAATGCAAAAAATGCCTCAAGAAAGAACATTGAAAAACTTCACAGAAACTAACATACTTCTTTCTTGAAAAGATCTCTATTAATTGTTTGATTGATATCTCAAATATGTGTTTTAAAACGTTGAAGCAAATTTGTATATATAAAGACTTTTTCTAACTAACTGGTTTAATTAATCAATTAAAAAAAAATAATCGATTATTAATTCTTGATCCTAACGGATTTAATCGATTAAAACGTCTTTTAATCGATTAAAATGTGCTACATAATTTTCTAGATTGATTTTAACTTATGCAAACGTGATTTAATCGATTAAAACAATTATACAAATTTTTTTTAAGTTATTTTAATCGATTGATTCACGGTTTAATCAATTATAATACTGTCATAAAATTTCTCAAAATTTCATAAGTGATTTTAACTTATAAAAGCATAGTTTAATCAATTAAAACATTTAACCAAAACCTGTCTAAGTTGTTTTAATCGATTATTTCGAAATTACATCAATTAAAATACTAACAGAATACTTTTTAAAACTTCTCAAGTGATTTTAATTGATTATTTCGAAGTTACATCGATTAAAATACTGACGAACATTTTTCAAAACTTCTCAAGTGATTTTAATTGATTATTTCGAAGTTACATCGATTAAAATATTGACAAAATATTTTTCAAAACTTATCAAGTGATTATAATCAATTAATTCAAAGTAACATCAGTTAAAATGCTGACAAAAGGTTTTTAAATATTTATTTAATGAAAATAATCGATTAATTCGAATGTGCATCGATTAAAACAGTGACAATATATGTTTTAAGTGGTTTTAATTGATTATTTCGAAAATACATCAGTTAAAACTCTGTCAGAAATGTTTTCAACTGATTTTAATTGATTAATCTTAAAGTGTATTAGTTAATTTTAAGTCTTAAGAACATATTAATTGATTAAACAAGTTTTTAACATATTAAAACAGTTAGAGACATTTTTTAATTCTTTCAAATGATAAAACCTCATGAAGCAGAAAAGAATGAATGATTATACCTATTAATATTGATGTATATTCACTAATCACTATACCATTTAACCCAGAAATCTTTTGACTTCATTAAATCTTTAAGATCTTCAATCAACATAGAGTTAAATAAGATCTTCATCATTATCAGTCTCCCCGTATTTGATGAATACAAACACCTCTTTTGAATTACTTTGAATGATCTTGATCTGCAAGAGAAATCACTTGGATATGCTTTGTATTAATGAGATTTCAATATTAATTTCTCCCCCTTTGACTTCATCAAAAATAGGGAAAGAAAGGGTTTGAAACAAGCATCCGAACAATATCAGAAAAGTTCACACTAAACCATTGAAATTAATTGATGGAAATCACGTTTAATCGATTAAAACATAGATGATAGATGTATAGTTTAAAAACCTAGAGCTTTTAATCGATTAATTCGTAAAATAATCAATTAAAATAGTACATATAGTGTATTTGAAATTCTCTATTAATGGATTTAATCGATTAAAACTACTTTATATCAATTAAAATAATCAGAACATGTGAATTTATGTAATGTTTGATGCATTTAGAATCCCTAATTGATTTCTAATTTTATAAAAACGATCACGAGCAAAAGGTTTTGTGAATATGTCAACTAATTATTTCTCAGTATCTATAAAAATGATTTCACAATCACCTTTTGAAACATGATCCCTAATGAAATTATGTCTAATCTCAATATGTTTTGTTCTAGAATGTTGAATTAGATTCTTTGTTAATATGATAGGACTGGTATTATCACATAGAATAGGAATTTTAATGAGAATCAAACTGTAATCTTCAAGTTGTTGTTTGAGCCATAAAGATTATGCACAACAATTCTAGCAACAATATACTTGGCCTTAACTGTAGAAAGAGCAACACATGATTGCTTTTTTCTATGCCACGAAATTAGACTACTTCCAAGGAGATGACAGGTTCCACTTATACTTTTTCTTTCAAGCTTACATCCTGCAAAGTCTAAGTCAGAATAACCAATTAAATTTAGTTTAGACTCACCAGGATACCACAACCAACATTCAATGTTCCTTTGAGATATTTGAG